TATATAATATTTTATAATTATTAATTTATTATAATTTATTTATTAAAAAGTTAATAATATTATAGCGATTATACTATTGTATAGTATATTATTATTTATATCAATAACTTTATTATTATTATTTATTAGGTTATTTATATTTTATTATTATTTATTTATTATATAATACATCATTAACATATTAAATATTGGTATTTAATATGTTATTATATTATTATATAAGATATTTTATTTATTATATTTTATAATATTTAATAAATATTACTAATATATTAAATTAACTATAATATAGTATAGTATAATATCTAACATATTATATTATGTTAGATATTATATTAACATCTTCCAAAACTCAAAAACCAAAACACCAAACTTAAAACACTTAAAAATGTGTTTTGAAATAAGTGTTGTGTTTTTGGTTTGAGGATGATTTAGCTCAAAAAAACACTATGGTTTCCAAACGCATGGAGTTTTATTTTGGGCAAAAACACCATGGAAACAATAAAAACACCATGGTATCCAAATTTTCTGTTTTAACGATATATTATTAATTTAACAGCTCTTTCTACTACGTGCTGCTGGATTTCTATTGCCATGCTACATCATGGCTTGGGCCATAAGCATTCTGCAGCGTCGGAGGCAAAGACAGGTTAGTGCCTTAATTTGGAGATGGGACATTTTATCTCTTCAGTTTTATCCTGTAGCCAAATTATGAATGTAACAAGAGACGTCCAGTTGTAATATCATGTTCTACTGAAGCAGAAGAATGCCGCCTTTCATTTCCTATCCTTCATTTAAGAACTTTGTAACAAGTAGAATAAACCTAAAGTTGACATTTTTTTCCTTCAGAATTGAACCCTTGGGGATGGAGTATAAGAATATTGATTAAAGCTGAAGTTAATTTTTTGCATATCCGCTGTTATTTGCCTAGGGCCGCAGAGTTATGACACTTCCTTTAGGTTGCATTTCATTTGTTCTAATTTTTTATCTGTCAAAAATCAGGAGGCTGCAGCTTTGGCAGCATCAGAAGTGGCATTCATACTCCAGTCGGGGCAGGGAAGGGGTGTGCAGTTTACCATTGCTCCCGAGTCGCCTACAACTCCTCACCAAGAGCCATCTCAATGATAATTACCTCGCTTCACCCTTTGTTAAGAATTATATGGAAGGGATTTTGGCTTGAGGACATTGGTAGATAGTTCCTTTCAGTCACAGCGGGCTGACTGGAGGTCCCTCCTCGTCCCTTTATACGTTCAATCAGAGTTTCAGATTTATCTTTCAAGGTCTAACCGTTAATATGTTGTTTACAGCTATAATTGTGAAGTTTTATATGAAATAACTCCTTGTGCGCATAGATATTAACCCATTGTGTTGAGATTGAGACGGTGTGTTATAATAATCAGCGAGAAATACTGATGTTTGATGAGCCAACCTTGTGTTTGTTTTGTTTTTCTGATCGCATGTCTCTATTATTAGAAATAGGGGTCCTCTCAGAACCGCTGCCGCAGCACCCCGCATGCTAGCGGGCGGAAATGGTAAGGGGCAATTACAAAATTGCTCCTCCCCATTTGGGGCTCAGAACCGCCCGCTCGAACTCATCTATGAGGGCTTATCTGCCATCCACTGCCGTCAATGTTTGGACAGAAATAGCAGAGTTCCGGTGATTGCTGGAATCTCCAATGTACATCATTACAGGAATATCTACTGTCTGGATGAGTTGCTCGAGATATGCAATGTGCCTTATCAAGTCTATCTATTATAGATATTCGTGCAGGCATATTCCATTTCTCTGCGTCGTACTAGTTGGTTTGGTCTGATATCATGTTTCATTGGTTGGATGAAGCAACAAATGCTTATGCAAGTAATTCTCTCGGTTGGATGAAACAACAAATGCTTATGCAAGTAATTCCCTCGATTGATTTCGCTGGATGATTGCAAAGATGAACAGGTTGAAGTCCATAACAGTACATTGATGGACGTTTTGTAGTAGTAAAACAAATCTTCTTATCATTGTTGCAATCCTTATTTGATTAATCTTTCATCTCAGGGAGATAAATTATATTATCTATTGTCTAGTGCTTTTCAATCACCGATTGACAAGTGATACACTACAAAAATAAATAAATAAATAAAGCAAAGGAGATGAAAAAATAAAAAATAAAACCTGCATGTCATTTGGGTTTAGCTTCAAAAATCAATAGACGCAGCTTGGTTGCTTGATGCTACATACTCCCCACTGATTTCTGTCACGAACCCTTTTTTACCCTGTTTTATTGTTCCCTTTAACAGGCGAGTTCAACATTGACGAAGACCGGCCGTTATCTTAGAATCCAACTCACCAATTCCTGTACTTAAACCGTATCCAGCGACAATTTCTTTTTTTTTTTTTTATACTAGCCAAGTTTTAACGGGAATGTCTTGAATCAACCAAATGCCTTCAGCAAAGAATTGAGGCGACGAGACAAACAGCAGCCAGTAGAAACTGCAATGCAAAGTCGCACCCAAAAAAAAAAAAAGATGATAAACAGAAAGGAGGACTGGAAGAACATGGTCTCAAAGCGCAATAGTTGCAAAGCAGAAAACAGATAACCATTTTTGCTGTAGGAAAACATTTTGCTCATGGTTCATCCTCATCTTCGAAAGCAGACTTGAAGTTCAATTACGGATCTTAATCATATACTTCCTTTAAAAGCACGAGTTCGGGAAAAAATCTTTCTATGGTCGGTATTACCCTTAGTTTCTTTTGAATATTACATTATTATCCTAATCTATTCTAATTTTAATCATATCTTATCTATTTCCACGTGAACTATCTATAGGTCAACAATTTTAAAAAAAGTTATTTTGAATATTTTACTTATATCTTAATCTATCCAAATACTAATTATATCCTATATTAACTCCATATGAACTACCTATAACTCAAAAATATAGAAAAAATAAGATTAAAAAATTATACGTAGATAACATATTATAATAATACATGAAGTATTATAAAAAAAAAACCAAAAGTTTCAAAGATTGCATATAATAACGTTAAAAGTTTAAAATTACACAAAACACCTTGACTTTTTAAAACTTAAAAACAAACATGATATCTAAAAATTTAAAACTTGTAATTAACACCCTCAACATTTTAAAAATTATAGAAACAACCTCAAAAGTTTAAAGGCTAAATTACACACCCTCAACATTTTAAAAATTATAGAAACAACCTCAAAAGTTTAAAGGCTAAATTACATTTATATACAAAGATGAGTGATCATTCAATTCACAAAGGAATTTTGCATATGAATTTACTTACAATTTGTCTATTACAATTTTAGTTGTGGTTTGACTTATATTCACGTTAACTTTTAGTTATTGTTTCGCTCATATTTATATTATCTAATATTTTCATTCAATTTTATAGCTCATTTTCTGTATCATAGGAGTAAAACTAAAAGTATGAATAATTATTTTTTACGAAATTAGAGCAAGGAAATTATGCGAAATTAGAGCAGGGAGATTATGATATATTTCACCATGTACTTTAAATATAATTTGTTATGCAAGGTCCCTATCAAATCTCACCCCAAATGATGTGGATGAGAAATGCTATTATAACTCGCTTACTTAGGGCAATTGTATTGCATATAGGACACATAACTCATCTGGAATATTCACATCTGTTGGACCATAGGGGGTGATTAGGGTCTTATGCTAATCTAATCCGATTTTATGCAAATTAAAACTAATTAACAAGTTATCCTAGTAAGTATAAAATACAATAAGATACATGAGCTAGGATAGGCAATATGAACTAATGAATATATCCTAGCAATGAGATATTACAAATTGATGCGGCATAAACATGTACCAAAAAATGTTGCAAGTGCACAACCGTGTCAAGTTATAGTATAAAGATATCGATCCTACGAGGAATGTGTTTTGTAGGAGAAAATATAAAATCGGTTCTTATGTTGTGTATGTGACAAATAGGAGTAATGAGTGAATGTGATTGTGAAGAGATTAAGAAGGTGATAGTGTGTAAATAGGCACAAAATGTAAGTGACAGTGGATGTGACAATGAATGAATGATTTCCACAAGGAGAGATGAATAACAAGAATCAAAAAGGAAAATCAAGAATAAAAATAAAATTCAAGAAAGTAAAGATGACGGATTCAATTAAAGATATGGGTAATCTAGAATTATATTCACTTCTTAGAAAATGGTGATTCCCTAGAGGGTTCTAGCCTAAAGGCGAATCAAAAAAAATAAAAATAAACAAAAAGAAAAACTAAACCCAAAGGGGTTCCAGCCTCAAGGTGAATAGTACAAGAAATTAAAATCTAACTACAAAATAAATTGTAAAATCTAAACTACAAAATAAATCGTAAGAATTAAATGCAAGAAAATAAATCTACTCTATAAGCATGAAATAAATCTAATCTATAAGTATAAAATAAATCTAAGGCAAGAGGGTTCTAGCCTCTTGGCTATTTAAACAAGAAAATAAAATCTAATTACAAGCATGAAAATAAATCTAAACTAATAAGCAATAAAAGAGAAATAAGAAAAACAAACCTTCAAATTAATCTCCATCTTCATCTTCATCTTCATCATCCAACAAAGAGAAGAAAAGAAAAAAATTTAAAGTGGTGAAAAAATTATTTTATTAATTATAATAAAAGTTACAAATTTGGAAGGCCTTCTTAATTAAGAGTGACCCTCCTCTCCAAATGGAGTTACAAAAATTTTTACACCCTCAACCCCTCACTCTCTACCCCTATTTATAGTAAACATCAGTGAAGGAGAGCCCTTGGATTGAAATCTTATCCAAAACAAGCAAATTTTAGCCTTTGATCTATAACAGAACGACGTAGGTATCGATACCAGCATCGATGCTGGCACGATGCTGGCATTGATGTCCAATCAAATATCTACCTCCACAGATGGCTTCATCTCGTCGAGATAGGCGATTTTCATATATTATATGTTAAATTCCGCCTTTCGGATTGAGAGATATCGTCGTTTCTTTGCGGCCAACCATCTTGAATATATTTTGTTTTCATATTTGATTTTTTTTTATTTTCTCCGGCTTTTACAAGCTACTCAGCTTGATTCTGAGCTTGAGATTTTTGGCTCTTGCTTGTGTTCTTCATTTAATTCATGAGCTTTTATTGAGAGATGAGATTTTTGGGCTTTATTCTTCATTAACCTGCAATTAAAGATAAAAATAATTATTAGTGATATATTTATTCATTAAAAATAGATAATGAGGGTATAAAATTATAATAAAATGTGATTATCAAATACCTCCACACCTAAACTTTTGCTAGTCCTCTAGAAAAGAAAGAAAAAGAAAATCCTAACTAACTTTCGCAGGAATTACGGTTGTATTTAGCGCATACAACAAGCCTTTAAACCCCTAGGTTACCCTAGTGGACGAGTTGTAATCTCGTGAGGGTTTGCAGTGAATATACCCACAAAATTCAGTCATCTTACCAAATTAAAGAAGTTAGTAAATAACTAAATTTACTTGATAATTAAAGCTAGTTATTACTCAAGAAAATATTTTTATATATTTCTAAGGTAAATTTCCTAGAAAATATTCTCATTATAGCAACACAAAACCAAGCCAAACTTAGAAATTTAATTTAAAAGTTCTGAAAAAAACATGATAACTCTTTGTTTAAAATAATATTCAAGTTGCTTGATCTAAAATATTTTCCAAGACCATATATACAAATATAACTATATATATAAAACATATATTAGTATTTTTATTTTTATTTTTTTATATTATTTTTTTGACTTTTTCTTCCTTGGTGATTTTTTTCTACTTTAACGGGCTTTCTAAGCGACCATTTAACGAGTTTTGGGCCAATGGATCCCAACCCAATTGGGCTTAGGTCATTAAGTATGGAAATACTCCTTGGGCTTAATTACTCGGTCAACTTAGACTTTATAAGATAGAATCACCTTGAATTTAAGAGTTTTTTTTCTTTTGGTGCCTATTTTTCGCACTCTTCTTTTGTAATTTTTTTATATGTATATGTATATATATTCTGAAAAATATGTAAGTCAAGACACTTTGAAAAATTATTTTTAACTCTAAGCTAAGCATGCATAAATTCCATTATTTTAAATAAAAATCTAAGTTAAGGCTTAAGTGAAGTATACTACTAAGCCGGTTAAGCAGGAATCGAGGAAAATGCATCCTGAAGTGTTGAGCTCTTTCGGTTAAAAAAGGAAATCATTTCTTAAGAAATTTATTTAGAGTTATCATAAAAGATAAACTTGAGTAAATAACAAACTAGAGATTAAAAAATTTAAAATTTATCAAATAAATCAATTATTACATATCTCTATCAATTTGGCAAGTGACGATATTTTTATAAATTTTTTTTAAGGAAAAGGAAAAAATGACAAAAATGCAACTAAAAAT